TTCTTTATAAAAGAATTTCCTTAGCTAGAAATTAGAGGTTGTAGATGTTTGTTTTTGGACTACAAAGCACACGGGCCATATTTCCTGGTAAATTTGGGGGTCTGTAGTCCAAAAAGAGAGGAGGGCCTGGCGTGCTGTGGTCCATGGTGTCACGAAGAGTCGGAAATGACTAAAAAACAACAGTCCAAAAACACAAATCTTCATGTATCAACTAGAAAGTTAGAAAACATCCGTCTTAGCAAACAGCACAGAATACTTAAATTGAACTGGAAAAAAACCCCATTTGAGGACGATAATATGTTCCAGCAAAATCGCTGTACAGCGAAATTGTCATCAAGCAAAAAAAAAAAAACCCAAAACAAACAAACATTGAAATGCATTGAAAACCGGTCAATGCATTCCAATGGGGGAAATACCTGATCAGCGAAGATCCTCCATAGGGCGGCCTTTTTCTGCTCCTGTCTTGCGAAATGAGGTCAGCAAAACAGTAGGGAGCCATTTTGAGAGCCGCCAATCAGCTGTTTTAAAATTGTCATGAAGTGAAAAATCGGTTCCCAAAGCAGGGAGCCGAACGTCGTAAAGCAAAAAAAAAAAAAACCATTTGAATCATCGTTTTGCAATTGCTGTAGCCGATTTCGTAGTCTACCAGGGTAATCGTCAAGCGTGGCACCACTGTATAGTATTTTTTTAAGTCTGTCTGTACAGAAAGTAAAATCTGAACATTGTGATGGGAAATCCTGAATAGAGCAATGAAGGATTTTGTGTGCTAGGAAAACTTCAGAACAATGAAGGAATATGTGCTGTTGGTTTAAAATACTATAAAATTGTTCCATTTTTACTGTGTAAAAATACAGAAGATAGGTTACTTTGCTTATGGTTGTTGTGGGTTTTCCAGGCTCTTTGGCCATGTTCTGAAGGTTGTTTTTCCTAATGTTTCACCAGTCTCTGTGGCTGGCATCTTCAGAGGACAGCACTCTGTTTCCACAGAAACTGGCGAAACGTTAGGAAGAACAACCTTCAGAACACGGCTAAAGAGTCTGGAAAATCCACAACAACCATTAGATCCCGGCCATGAAAGCCTTCGTGAATACTTTGCCTATGTTTATTTGAATAAAACATCAGCATGTATTCAGGACACTCTTTGAACACATGGAAGTGAAGCATCATGAAAGGACTCTTGTTAAGAATATAGAAATGACTGTGCTTTCTTTCTGTGTGTGTGTGTGTGAGAGAGAGAGAGAGAGAGAGAATAAGAGATCCTTTCAGTATTACTGCATGGGTAGAGTAGAATGAAATTAAGTTTAGATTTAAGCCTGACTGAATATTACACTGAGCTTACTGTATTTAGCCAAATTAATCTTCCACACAGTTCCACAACACAGATAATTAACGCAAATCTTCCAAGCCAGCAGTACATTGTTTACAAAAAATGTCAGTAGCAGCAGTCATTGGTTTTGAAATGCCTTTTCTTCTAAGGCTGTCCAGCCTTTCCTTGTGGGTAATATTTTCTACTACAGAATGTGGTTCTAGCACCCCCATGTGCAATAAATTATTATAATCTGAGAACCTCTGTAGTGTGCTAGGTCTTGTTTTTGAAAGAATAAAAATTCTATTACACTAATAAGTCTACTCGACTCATGCAGTGTGCTTGCCGTGGACTTGTGTCTGTTGTGAATATGGTGCTGTGTTTATAATTGCTAAAAGGAAGGGAAGACTCTTAGAGAATAATCAGGGAAGTAAATATGTTAAGGTAACCAACCACCTCAGTAGTATATTTTGCTGTATTTTTAAGGCATGAATTGCTTGAGGAAGCCCGGAGACAAGGTCTACCCTTTGCTCAGTGGGATGGGCCCACTGTGGTTGTCTGGTTAGAGGTAAGGAGACTTTAAAATGGAACTCGCCACAGTATTGACCCAAACATGGAACTTTAAAATCATTATCTCCCTTTCTCTTTGACAGTTATGGGTTGGAATGCCAGCCTGGTATGTAGCTGCTTGCCGTGCAAATGTGAAAAGTGGTGCTATAATGTCAGCCTTATCTGATACTGAAATACAGCGTGAAATTGGAATCAGTAACCCTTTGCATAGGTTAAAGCTGCGACTCGCCATTCAAGAAATTATGTCACTAACAAGTCCATCTGCTCCTCCTACATCAAGAACGGTAAGAGAAAATGGAAAAGAATGATGACATGTGAGCAGAAACTTATCAAATAATTTAGAATTCTGCCTTGTGGAAGTCTGCATCAATAAGACCACATAAAATGGTGCTGTTGGGGGAGACACTGGAGGAAAGACAGCTGTTTAAACAAATGGAAATTAACCATGCAATCATGTTTTTCTATTTTCTAAAAGGGTAATTATTTTTAAAGTGAGCGTACTAGATATAGTGTCTTATGCCTAAGAAAGAACATGTAGTTAATTCTTTAAAGTAATGATAATATTTAAAACAGGTCCAGAATTCTGCTTACTGTGACAACAGGCCTATTTCCTTCTGGAAAAGCTTGGCAAGCCTTCCAGCTCTAGAGTTAGAGAAGAAAGCAGATATCATCCATACATTGTGACCCTCTTCCAAGCTACTCCAAGTGCTTTGAAAGCACAGTGGCAGAACAAACATTTTTCCTTCACAGCCCTTCTCAACAGGGGCCATATGGCACATTGGAAGGGGGCCACAGACTGGAAAGATTTCTTCACATACCATCTTATGAGGTTTGTTATGCAACTTATACAATCCTGATTTGCCCTGTGTTTTCTTTCATGTTGTGTTTAGGACCATGGCTGAAAAAAGAGCCTAACTGTAGAGAAGAACTCTGCATATATTTCTAGCTCTGAAGAGGGAGAGCTGAGGCTTGTTTTGCTCTGTCCTGAGATACCTAAGAGTACCTTGGAAAGGGTTGTGTGATAACAGGAAACTGAGTTTTGAAAGGTGGAAAAAGATGGTTGAGAGACATTTAGCTTAGTTGAGAAGAAAATGTTGCAGCAGTCTTGAGTGACAAATGTTTGGTTGACTAAAACAAGCAAGTTTGCATATGCCTTTATTTTAAGATTCGTCTTTGGGAATAAAAAATAGGTAGAACGCTGTACACACAGCAGGAGTTTTCTCAGTCTCTCCCTCACCCCTAAATCAAGTCCCTTTCTGGAGCTCTCATGAGTCCTCCAGTGGATGTGATTCCAAACATAAAATCATCATCCATGGTGGCTGTATATATGTATCGGCTTTGATGGACTGGGCAGTTGTTCCATGATAATATTGGACAGCATCTCCCAGATGCTTTAGGCTGTAGTGATCAGGGCGTTTTGGAGTTGTTGTGCAGCATCTAGAGAGTTTGGGAACCATTGGATTAGGGCAGCTGTCCCTCTCAGGACTACTATAAAATGTTTTGAAGGCAAATTGTCTGACAAGGAATTAGTGTGTATCAGTGAGCTAAATGTAGTTGTAGATGCGTTGAATAAAAAAGTTTCTTTTAAGAGTGTAATTCATTCAATGGGTCTACTGTAGCTGGGGCTAATACTTGGATTTAACCAAACAGTATTTATATAATAGTGTAAGATCAAACGTGTCTGTTCAGATAGAGCCAATGTCTCTGCTCATATTCTTGTGATCATAGCATATATGCATGCTTTTAAATTTGATTGTATTTGTTTAAGAGGTAAGTGGATCTTAAAAGCCAGCTAACTGATTGACTCAAGTTGGTTTGCAAATAGTGCCAGATCATACTAGGAAGTTCCACTTAATTATTTCATGGTGTATGCTAAACCATAATTTGCTGTTATATTTGTAGCAGTTATATTTCCCTCCAAACCTGCTTCAAATTCTGGTTTGCAAGACTAGTACAAATCCTCATTTTACTATTAGAGTCTAATAACAAATTATGGCTTACCACAAACTGGGAAGTGTGTGCTTATGAAGGGCCCTGGAGAGGTACCTGACCCATTTCAATCAGTAATACAGTAAATGAAAAGAAGAACAGAGATGTACTAAAGCACCTCAGTGCAAGTGAAATAACCTGAAATAATCGTACATGGAATTGCTGAGTGCAAATATTGTGTCTAATGTGTAAACTATTTTACTGTTCAAACCTTGGTTAAATGTAGTGTAGTTTTGTATGCATCATCATCATTATTATTATTATTTGAAAACAAGTATGTTTGACTGTGGGCTTGCATCTCACATCAATCTGTACTTAACAGCCTAGAAACCATTGCTTTTGCCCATGCCTGCTCCTTATATGTACCTGTTGCTTATATATTCTGCAACCTTTCCTCTTTGTTACTGCTTTCCTTTCATTGGATTTGATTGGTTCACTTTGGGGTCATATTAGACCACAGGAAATGTCTGGGTAACACATGAAGAAATGGAAAATCTTCCATCTACACCACAAACGGTTAGTTGTAGCAGTGAAGCTTCTGTTTTTACAGTTCTTTTCCCACTTCTTGAGTGATTGAATCATGTGCTTTTTTAGTCTCTGCAAAGAGTAGAAACATTATTAATGTAACTAAATCCTTCTTGGTTATGGCTTATTTTAATTACTAATCCTCTGAAATTTGTAAATCTTGCTGCAAAATGCTTTTCCACCAAGGTTGTTGTGGAAATGAGAGAAAAAATTAGGCGGGCAAAACCAGTGAAATAGTTTTTGAATTGTTTGAGAAACGTTTCTTAATCTTTGATTTGAATTTATTACTAAATAAACTTTCTTGTGTGGAAAAACAAAGCAGCATGTGCTTCCTTTTCCATAAAGGTGTCAAAATATAAAACAAGATTAATGGATGTGTAATTTTGAACGCATGATACCTGCATTCCTAAATTATTGGCATGTTTTTTGTTCCATGTTTGCAAGATGGCCGCACGCCAGAAATAATTTTATCCACAGAAAGGGCAGTGTACAATGATTAGTGCCTGGACTCTTATACTAAATATGCCACACTTGTCTATCGAGAGGCTTATCTCATTGAAACCTTACAGGTTTTTGCAATTCTTCGGTTATGTGCCCTTTTCTGCTTATTGGACTGCGGCCATTACTTTGAAATTGCTTACATTACTGAACTTACAAATACTAACAGTTGTGTGTTCTTTTACTTTTCTAATTACATAACCTCAGGAAGATGAGGAAGGATGCTGGGCTCAGGTTGGAGATTTTTCTTTTAAAACTTCTGTTTGAAATATCAATTAAAGTTTATTAATCCAAAAAGCTCACTTTAAAAAAAAATTGAGGGGAAATCTCATGAGTAAAATTTCCTTCACCCCTTTTGAATGTTGGCTCAGAAGTTGTTACATTTGAAAAATTCTTTGGCTTAGAAGATGTTGATGCAACGTCTTCTAAGCTACTTGAGTCACATTTTCTAAAAATTTGTCACAGAGATATGAAGATATTTCACTGATTGTAAAATGAATAGTCAGCGGTGGCAAATATCTAAATGTTCCTTGGATCACAGTCATATTTTAGTCAATGGTCCTAAGAGAATTTAGATTGCAGTCTTCTGTACACTTACGTACATGGGAACACGTCATATTGAATTTAATGGGGGCATAGTTCTGAATAGGTATGTGTAGGACCTGTGCTATGAATTAATTGTGTTTGTATCAAAGTGCTGTGATTTAGAAGATGTGGATTTTTTTGAAAAATCAGAAAACATGGAAGCTTTACCTCCCCACACACACATCTGACTTACTTTTTCCCAGTTTTTCATTAATAAGTTTGGATTCAAATGTTTGATTAAAATCATTTTAATAGCATCCACTTCTTTCTGTGGTGCACTGATACCTGCTATGGTTATCACGTAGCATGAAAATATGATGTATGTCTCCACATGTACCATAATGCTGTTTTATTGACTTTGCTGTTTTTATTTTTGGATTATTACTTCCCTTACTGTTATATTGAGTGTATTTGCTTTATTGTTGTCAAGGGCCTAGAATAGTGCCTTGCATTAATCGGGTGGTATAAAAGTAGAAGAAATAAATAATACATTAATGCATACAACGGACAGCAGAGCTGCGTTGGGGATTCTGGAAGCTTTTGTCCCCTCCCCATCCCCAAATAACACTATATTTTCCAAGCTCTTGCTAAGTGTTTGGAGAGGACCATCTCCCAATCATGCTTCACATGTTTATTTCCATTAATACTAGTATGTCTCCCATACACTGGGGCACAAGCTTCTGGGGAGAAGTATGTGCAGAGCTTCACTTGGGGCTGTTCTCACTGGCAAAATATAACTCTGAATCCAATCCTTATTTTGTATTAAAAACCTTCTCATTTAAATTATATCTTAATGCTTTTCTTTTAAACAGACTTTAGCATATGGTGATATGAACCATGAATGGATTGGCAATGAATGGCTTCCTAGTCTGGGGCTCCCTCAGTATCGCAGTTATTTTATGGAATGTCTTGTTGATGCAAGAATGCTGGATCATTTAACTAAAAAAGATCTTCGTGGCCAGCTTAAAATGGTTGATAGTTTTCACAGGTAAATCTATTTAAAATAGTTGTTTATTAGCAAGTATTTCAGCTGTTCTTCATAACTCCTCCACTCTTTTTTTAACTTACAGAAATAGCTTCCAGTGTGGCATTATGTGTCTGCGAAGGTTGAATTATGACAGGAAAGAACTTGAAAGAAAAAGAGAAGAAAGTCTAAATGAGATTAAAGGTAACCATTTCATTTCCTGGGTTTTGTTTGTTTGTTTAAGAGCATTGATAAATCCATGAAACACAGTGATTACCGTGTTTTTCCATGTATACAGCCCCCCAGTGTATAAGACTACTCCAATTTTGACCCTTGCCTGAGGCAGAGGAGCAGTTAATGAGCTACTGCTTCTCCACCTCCATCTGCTGCTGCCTCCGCCGCCTGATCACCTCATCCATTCCGACTGCCGGGGCTCACCTCCAGCTCTTGTCGTCGCTGCCTTGTCCCCTGCCCGAGTGGAGCGCTAGAGGAAGCGATGCAATGACAGCAGTCAATGGACAGCAGCAAGAGGCGCCTGAGCACACGTGAGTGATCCTTTGCCTCTGCCTCCTGCTGCTGCCTCTGCCACCAAATTGGACAAGGCGGCGAGGTGAGCCCCAGCAGTCGCACTGAAGGAGGCAGTAGGCGGGGACAGCAGCAGCAAGAGGCGCCCTAGTGTGTGCAAGTGCTCCTTTGTCTCCGCCTCCTCCTCCTCCTCCTCCTGCTGCCTCCATCACCAGAGGGGACAAGGCAGTGACGTGAGCTGGAGGTGAGCCCTGGCAGTCGCACTGGAGGAGGCAATGGGCGGTGGTGGTGCAAGAGGTGCCTGAGTGCGCTCAAGTGCTCCTTTGCCTCCTTCCGTGTATAAAACAACCCTCAATTTCCCCCCAATTATTTTAGGAAAAAGTGTCATTTTAAACATGGAAAAACGCAGTATATACAAAATATTTTCTACGTGCTGAACAAAAACAAAAATGCATTTGGTATTGAATTTTGTACAGGTTTGCTTCTCAGGCTCAAGAGTATTGTTAAAATTTGTTCAAATCTGTGTTTTTGATTGCACAATATTTCAGGATAGGATTTTTCTATCATGGCTATATTACATAAGTTCTAAATAAACCCCTTGAACTTTAAACTAGTAAAGTGGTACCTTGCTAGACAGTTACCCCGCATGACAGTTTTTTTGCTAGACATTGACTTTTTGCGATCGCTATAGTGATTCGCAAAACAGTGATTCCTATTGGGGAATTTCGCTGGACAATCTTTGGTCCCTGCTTCGCAAACCGATTTTCGCTAGACAACGATTTTGACAGCTTCCTCCGCGCTCGCAAAACAGGTGTTTTCAGGACCTAAGCTTCACAAGACAGCGATTTAAACAGCTGATCGGCAGTTCGCAAAGCAGCTTTCCTATGGCCGATCTTCGCTAGACAACTCGATTCTTCCCCATTGGAAAGCATTAAACAGGTTTCAGTGCATTCCAGTGGGGAAATGTTTTTCGCTAGACAATGATTTCGCTAAACAGCGATTTCAGTGGAACGGATTATCATTGTCTAGCGAGGCACCACTGTACTTGTGTTTATTTTTCTGTGTAAACCATGATGTATATTAAGGAGCCTCATGGCACAGAGGTTAAACTGCAGTACCACAGCCAAAACTGTGTGCACAACCCGGGTTCAATCCCACATAGCCAGCTTCAGGTTCACTCAGTCTTCCATCTTTCCAAGGTTGGTAAATTGAGTACCCAGCTTACTGGGTATGGGGCATTTTGTAGCCTGCATAATTAAATTGTAAACCACCCAGATAGTGTTTTAAGCCCTATGGGATGATATTTAAGCAGCACGTTTAGCTTTTGCTTTAAGTAGTGGCCCTATTTGCCATGCATTTTGGTTCTAAACAACTGGTGTAGTAGAAGTAGTAGAAAATACAGATGAAATTGTACTCATAGTCCTATCCAAAGGGCACGATGCAGGTATAATAAATAAAACCTATATTAATTTGAAGACTAGATAGCTGCATCACAGTTTCAAATATTGCTGAAAACCTTATTGAGTTTTTCCATCAACATATGCAAATGAATGTACATTTCTTAGCAAGTCACAGCAGATTATGAAGTTAGCCTAGTCATTTGCTGCTGAGTGCCAAGCCATGCAACTCAGCATATAACACAAGATGCTTACTTTGACTTTTTTGCAGTTCACCAAGATTTATGCCAATTGTGCTGTGCCAGTAGGATTTTGGCTTCTATCTTGGCTATAATCCATTGGACTGTTCTCAGCGTTATGTATGCTATTCCGCTTGTCGCCATCCTTAAAACAAACTAATGGCCATAGGTATCTCTGGAATAATATTCAGTGCCTGGTTCAGGAAGCTAAACCAAAATATTACATTAACACGCACATTTGTTTTACGTCATTGGTTTCTAGCCCTTTTTCTTTTGCAGACTAATATCTTCTCTCATCCTTGACTCAGCATGACATGCTCCACTGTGTCAATATGAGTGGTAGGCTGCATGCTTTAAAAAGAGGAGACTGTAAATGTCATTTTAATAGTAGTGTGGTGGATGAAACACTATTTTCACCAATTATGGATGTTCATCTTGCTGAAAGTATGTTTTAGAAATCTTGATAATTTATCCACTGTATGCCAAATTTCGTCCATGGGATTTTCCTGCACACATCTGTATGGGATGCAATAAAACATAAACAACACTGTTAAAATTAATATAAAGTAATAGATTCTAAATCTAGTGCCAGTGCAGAGTCTTAATTTATAAGAAAACTATTTCTAAATTGTAATGCTATTTAGTATTGATACTGCATGGAAGAGAAACTGTGAACTGAATTAAGAGTAACATGACTTGTGGAACTCTTCCTTCCAACCACACCTTCCCTCCACAACCCTCTTTACTCCCCAAAAGCTGCTTTGGTTCAGGCATTTTTGGAAAAAAGATAGATATTGGAAGCTTCAAAAGAAGGAGCAATCACTGTCCGTTGGCTCTTTCTGCAGATCTTGGCCGCTTCCACAAATAAAGGGCAAGTGTGGATCCAATCCCATGTCATGTGCTTGTGCATATAATGGACCATATTGTAGTTTAATCATTTGCTTTCCTTCCCATAGATGTCCTTGTCTGGAGCAATGACAGGATGATTCATTGGGTGATATCAATTGGTCTTAAAGAATATGCAAATAACCTCATAGAAAGTGGAGTTCATGGTGCACTTGTGGCCTTAGATGAAACTTTTGATCACAATGCATTAGCTCTTTCCTTGCAGATACCCACGCAGAATACACAGGTAATAATAATTGAAGATTTGACTATTACTCATAGCTTTGTTTAGAATTCTTCAGTATCGAGATTAGAGGCAGCAAATGTGTTTCTGTAGACTATGCCCCATTTTAACCCTGAAATGTTTGATGTGAAATTGCTTTGTTTTGAGTTGATACCTACAAAATTTTCCAAAGTCATGTTTTTAACCTGGCAAAGTTAATTTCAGGGGTGATAGTATAGAATTTTTAATAGGTTTGTAGATGTTCAGAAAATAAAATAAACCCACAATGGTAATATTTCATTATTGTTATAGCTGTTGTATATTTGGTCATTGTTAAAATTGCACTTTATAGATCAGGCTCTCAAATTGTATTCTAAATATTTTTAGGCCCGCGCTGTGTTGGAGAGAGAATTCAACAACCTTCTCATTATGGGCACAGAAAGAAGGTTTGATGAAGTGAGTTCTATTGGTTTTAATTTTATGATTCTTCACAGCTTGTTTTCTTACAAAGAGAGCCACCATGAGATAATATTCTGTAAGAAATCACAGTTAATTGAGGCTTTTAAGCTAGGTGGGTTTCTAAGAGACTGCCCTCCTACGCATTCATTGTAGGGAGATGTAATAATGGGCTTTTCAAATAACCAAGTAGCTCATCTTGCCTTTTGCTACTATCATAGTTCCTAAGATTAATTGCCTTCCTGTACGAATATGTCTGACTTGCTCAGAAATTCCCACTACTTATCTCTTTCAGTTAATTTTGAGACAGAATACAATTTGCATAGTACAGTGGTGCCTCGCTTGACGAGGATAATCCGTTCCAGCAAAATTGCTGTAGAACGAAATCGTCATCAAGCAAAAGTAAAAATCCCATTGAAATGCATTGACAACTGGTTCAATGCATTCCAATGGGTGAAATACTTCAGCGTCCAGCGAAGATCCTCCATAGGGTGGCCATTTTCCATTGCCTGTAATGTTATGAATCCGTCCTAAAACACAGCAGGGAGCCATTTTGCACAGCGGGTGGCCATTTTGAAGACCCGATGATCAGCTGTAAAGATCGTCGTTAAGTGAAAAATCGGTTCCCGAAGCAGGGAACCGATCGTCGTAAAACGGTTTTTCCCTATTAAAACATTGTTTTGCGATCACAAAAACTTCATTGTAAAGCGATGGTAATGAGGTAGTAATCGTCAAGCGGGGCACCACTGTAGTTTATTCACTATAATATGTTAAACATTTATATATCTTCAGTAACATTTCAGTCCTACTTATTTCTGTTGGTTGTTCATAGTACAGGCAGTACGGTTTCGTTTGCTGGCAGCTAGTGGCTTTTATACGGAGTAGAGATGTAAAATTTCTGTAATCCTTGACACCATAGAGGAGGGTTTCTTCAAGGTATTTTTCCCCTTGATAAAGCAGAAATGTTGGAAAAAATACAAACCTATGTAAGGTATATTTTTTATCAATCCAAAACTTACCTTACTCCTTGAGCAACATAAACTATTACTTTTATAACCTTAGAAATTGTATTACTTGGCATATTTGTGAAATTGAAAAATTTAAAAGTTTAACACCAGCAATGAAGCTGTTACTTTATAGTTCATACCATGTGCTCCTCTTGTGGTGCCCCGCATAGGGACGTTAATCCGTTCCAGGATTAACGTTGCTATCCAGAAACATCGCTATGCAGGGGGGGACCCCATAGGAACGCATTAAACTCCTATGGGGACAAAACTCACCTTTATGTGAAAATCCTCCATACGACCACCATTGTCGCTGCCCGGTAAGCGAGGAATCCGGGCAAAAACACAGCGGGCGGCCATTTTGCCATCTTCTCCGGTCCAGCCCCTCCCCATCCCCGCCTTACAGCTGATCCGTGCCGCACTTAGAAGCTTGCCCAGGCTTGCCCAGCAGGTAAATAGGCAGTGGAAATGCACTGGGGAAGCCTCTGAAAGCGGCGCTTTGCCTGGGGGATGGGGGGGTGGCAGGGGCAGGCCCGCCCCCCAGAGCCCCCCCTCGCACAGCTTTCAGAAGCCTCCTGGGGCTTTTTCAGCAGTGAAAATGCACCTCTGAAACCCCCGCTTTGCCGTGGGGGGCGGGCCTGCCCCACCCCGGCAAAGCACCGCTTTCAGAGGCTTCCCCAGTGCATTTCCAGTGCCTGTTTACCTGCTGGGCAAGCTTCTAAAAGCAGCGTGGATCAGCTGTAAGGCAGGGAGGGGGAGGGGCTGGAGCAGAGAAGATAGCTCCCGGCTCTTTTCTGGGACGATCGCTTCCCCCCTCATCACAAACGCCCCATTTTCTCACAGCTGATGGGGGGCCTTTGCTAAGATCCCTGGCCCCGCCGATCAGCTGTGCAAAAATGGGGCGTTTGCAATGATGGGGGGGAGCCATCATCGCAAAGTGATTTTCCCCTATAGGGAATATCCCAATGCGTTCGCTTTTGCGATCGCAAAATCCACATCGCTATGCAGATTCGTCGTTAAACGGGGCACCCGTTAAGCGAGGCACCACTGTATCTTCAGTTTGAGTGTAATATATGTCTAGAGTATACACAAGAATTGTCAGTGCCTAGTTCCCTGATGTTGGGGAAGTGTGAAGGCAAGAGGAGAAGGGGACGGCAGAGGACGAGATGGTTGGACAGTAATACTCTGACAGTTTCACCAAAGCTACCAACATGAATTTAACCAAATTCCGGGAGGCAGTGGAAGACAGGAAGGCCTGACGTGCTCTGGTCCATGGGGTCACAAAGAGTTGGACACAACTCAATGACTAAACAAAAACAAAAGTTCTGTACTGTGGTGCCTTGCTTAACGAGTGCCCCATTTAATGATGAATCCGCATACTGATGCAGATTTTGCGATAAAAAAACCGAGCGCATTGCGATGTTTAAATAGGCTAAACATTGCATTGCGATGTTGAACGTGGGGAAGCGCTTCCCCACGATCATCCCAAAGGCTCCGCTGATCAGCTGTGTTGCGGGGTGGAGAGAGAGAGCCCTGAAACAAAGCTGATGGGCGGGAGTTTGCGAAGATTGCGGGAAGCCAGCTTTACAAACCCCCGCCGACCAGCTGTAATTCAGGGCTCTCGCTCTCTCTCTCCCCTCGCAACTCCAGCCTGGGCAGGGAGACTGAGGCACCCTGCCGCCACCCTGGCCGTAGCGGCGCGGTGCCTCGGTCTCCCTGCCCAGGCTGGACCTGCAAGGGGAGAGAGAGAGAGAGAGAGAGAGAGCGGCATCGGGGGGTTGCGAAGCTTGCTTCCCGGTGATCTTTGCAACCCCCCGCCCATCAGCTCTAGAGAGCCAGCTCGCTCTCTCTCTCTCCATATAGCGACGATTTTTTCAGAACGGATTATCGTCGCTATGCGGGGCACCACTGTACTCTGTTTTATAAAACAGATCTTCGTACCAGGCAGTTTTTGGCATTTTAACCAATTAAAACTTGTCTCTTAACTGGAAGAAAAGTGGCATAGAAATATGAATAAATGGATGGAATTTTGCTTATTGCGAAGAAAAAAACATTTTGTTGGAATGTTTTCTAGGTTCTCCAAAGTGATTTTCTACTTGAAAAACTTTTTGGGAGAAGGACTGCTTTTTTTCAAAAATGTTCAATTTTACTACTGGACCTTTATAGCTTTTGTGAGGAGCAATAACTCTTCCAAGAGCCTCTGGTGATCTCTGCAATACAGTTTGGAAAAGAAAAGCAGCAGTTTTTTTTTTTTTTTTTACAAATGGCCATGGGAACAACAATGGCTATCAAATTATACCGGGCCCAATGCAAGGGGCAAGGAGTACACTGGGTTTGATTTTGTATAATGAACAATAATAATCCTGGATTACAGCTCCCAGCATTCTTGACTGTTGGCCATGCTGCCTGGGACTAATGGTAGTCTAAAACAACTTGGGTGTACCAGATTTGGGAAGACTGAACTAAGGGGAAATTATGTTTTAGTAAGGGAGTTACTAGTGATTCAGTGCCATGGTTTGAGATACCTGAAAGCAATGCAGGGATGAAAAATGAGTTTAATGGTCTACCCTCAGAGATTATTTTTTTCTGGTATTTCTAATGTTTCTGATGCTACTTTCCGGCAGCTTTAGCTAATGCTCCTGCTAAGGCCCTTTTCTTTGTTTGGAATGATGAAATAATTTGGGCCACTAATATGATCATTCCCAAATGCCTTTGACTAACTAGTCATATCAACTCCTTGACATTCATAAGAACTGAATATTTTGAAACAGTCAAGCAGAAAGAAGCCTTCTTTGGGTTTAATTCTATATTATTGTTGATGGCACTTGCACTTTGTTTCTTCACAACTGTAGTGCCTATATAATTTCATCCAGCTTTGCTTTTTTTAAAATTACAGCTAAAGATCTTTTGAATACAGGGAATCGAATAATAGAACTCTCAAAGTTCTGCTGTGATTTATGACTTTGCACTTTCCTTTTTACAGTGCCAGAACTATATATTGATGAACTGTTTTTTGGAAAATTGTTTTAATTTTATTTACCTTCCCAAGTGAGCATTGTCCAAAAATGCTGGTTTTGTTTTACTCCGTCCTCCATGCAACCAAGAGAAATTTATTTCTTCCAAACCATTTGTGTTTGCTGTAGAGAAGTGGTTGGTTGTGCTGAGGTAGAATTTCTTCTCATGTTTGCTACACTTGGGAGAAACAAGAAAATGGCAAAGAAATTCCTGCTCTTTCTTAGCTTCTCCATAACTCAGTGTAAATTCCTTTCTCCCAAGTCTTCTGCACAGGCCAGAGAATCCAGGTCAGGATGTTTTTTGTGTTAAAGTGTACTTCTTCAGATGAATAGAGATGTTGCCACTCTGTTCATCTGAAGAAGTGTGCTTAGACTTATTAAAGCTTATAAATATTATAGCTGAAAACATCAATAATTTAAGATATGCAATGGAGACCATTTTAGTGGTGATGGAGGAGAGCTCTGTGGATATCCTGGATTGCAAGGAAAAAAAACAAGTGGATCCTAGATCAAATCAAGGCTAAAATATTTGAGGAGGCAAAAATGTTGTCCTATTTTGGGAACTTCATGAGAAGGCAGGATTCCCTAGGGGAAAAAAGTAATGCTAGGAAAAGTTAAAGGCATCAGAAAAAGAGGAAGACCAAATACAAGATGGATTAATTCCCTAAGGAGGCCACAAGCTTGAGTTTACAAGAGCTAAGAAGGGAGTTCAGGACAGGATAGAATGAGGATATCACTCATTCATAGCATCACCATAGGTTGGACCCTATGAATCCAATTTATGGTGAACCTATGTCACCAGATGCTACGTGACTTCTAGTTTCTCTTTTATTAAACTTTAAGAATAAGATGAACACTTTCATAAGAGACTGAAACCCAGAGTAGATTATATTATAGTAGATTAGATTTCAACGTGACTAGGTTTTTAGAAGACTTGTTTGATGCGTAACCATGAAAAAGGCCAACAATATACAAAATGTATACCTGTGTATCATTTTCTGATCCTTGCCAAATATATTGCATGTTAATAGTGCTTTTAAGTACCTGTTTTCTGGTTTTATAGGATGATGATAAAAGCTTTAGACGAGCACCTTCTTGGAGAAAAAAGTTTAGACCAAAGGATATAAGAGGTTTAGCTGCTGGATCAGCAGAGACTCTCCCTGCAAACTTCAGAGTTACTGCCTCAATGTCATCGCCTTCTATGCAGCCAAAGAAGATGCAGATTGATGGTAAGGTATTGCTTAATAACTAAAGCATGGTGATTAACTGTGCTTGAGTTTGTAAGTGAAGTAAGCATCTGAATGTTGTGAGGTGAGGGAGAATGTACCCTGTGCATGACTTGCGTTATTGCTTTAGTTTCTCAGTGAATGATAACAATATTGGTATTTTTAGTACCCTACCATATTAATAACTGCCTTTCTTTGAGCTCTAATTAAGCAGACCTTTAAGTTATCCTCAGAGAATCTTTTAGAAACCTCTTATGCCAACCTTTATGTGGAAACAGAACATACAAGAAACAATGTTGCATTTGCTTGACAAAGTATTTTATTTCACCAACTCTCTTTCACCATACAGGTCTTAATTGCTTCTTTCAACAACCTGAATCTTTAACTCTTCTTTGGTCATCTTTATCTCTCCTGAGCATTCTCTCATTCTTTCACACTGCCCAAATTCTTCCCCTCTGATGTCTTTATCTTTCCTTCCACATATGATCATATATTTTTCCTCTTCCTTCCTAAGCTCATTCAGTATTTGTGTCTCTTGCCTTTGCTTCTTTATCCTCAGCTGCTGTTTCAGCAATCTGCCATCTGTATTATCACTTCCACATCACTAAAAACATAGCTAATAGCTGTCATTTTACCAAATAAAGGGGATTTTTCCCATGCCTCTTGATTGGTTGGTGTATAAAATAAGGAGTGGGCACTTTAGTATATTTAATTGCTTATATATTTATATTCTGTGGGCAAGGAGTAGTAGCAGCAGATTTTCTACATGTTAGTAGTTCCATCCTCAAATAGCTTGCTGCCCATGAAAGTAAAGGAAGGCATGTAAAATAAAAATAGACTCAAGAATAGTGACATTCATATCACAGCACAAGCAGGCAGTTCAAAAGGCAATGAAAAAGAATAGTGGGTTGTTGTTTTCACACAATGAGTTAAACATCTGTTGGTTAAAGAGGGTGGGGAGTAGAACTCAGTTCCAAGGTCAAGATGTACGATGTGTGGTTTTAAGGAAAGCTTGGGCAGAAGAGTATCAGTTGACAGGGATGACTGATAGAGATTTAGATATGTAGGGTCAGGGAAGCAGAGCTCAGATCCAGTAATGAAAATGAGGGATACCACTAAACTATAAGCAAAATAATAATCTCATTGTCAGATGGATTGTTCCCTCCCACACTCCTCAGGAAATCAGATTTGTAGGCAAGTTGCATGAGTTGCACTATTGCATGAGTGGAAATCTACTTGTATAATACTGAATCTGTCTCTTGGTTTGTAGAAGTAATGGTTTTAATAGTTTTTATTTTGTTTTAGAAATTGTGGTCTTTCATTTTGTAGTAAAATCAGCATATTGGTTTACAAAGTTTGGGTTTTTCTGTACTTACATACATTAAAAAAATTAATTATGAGACTAGTTCTGATTCATAGAACTCCTCAATGTCTATTAATTCTCTCTCACCTGTCATGATTTTAGTTAGGTCTTAATTCCTCGTGGCTATATCAGTATAGCCATGAGGAATTAAAACCTAACTAAAATTTATATATATATATAAAAGAAATTGGTTCTGTGTTGGTTTTCTTGATGATTGATAGGAACTGACTTCAAAAACTAAAGTGAAAAATTGTGAGATGAATCCAGAGCTTACAGGTTTGTGGCTCCAGTGCATACCTGCTGAATGCTGTTCTAATGTTGAAGTTGTTAAAGAACATAGAAGATAAAAAGTTGCCTTATACCAAGTCAGGCAATTGACCCATCTACCTCCAGTCTACAGTGAAAAGCAGCATTCTTCCCAGGTCTCCAATAAAAAGACTTTTCCATGCTCCTCTGGTAATGCCTCTAATCCAAGCAGGGATCTTTCATCCTTCAACTCTTTCCAAATTAATGATTTGGAGAGGTATAATTTGGGGCTGCTTAGAAATATTAAAATTATTTCCTCTTGTAGTCAGTGAAGCTCACTTTTTCATCTTCAGTCTGTATATCATTTCTCACAACATTATATAGTGCTTCCAAATATACATTAAATCTGGAAGGAGTGTCCATGTAATCTATTTTACATTTTGTATAAATGGTACTTTACGTTTTGTGTAGCTAACCTTTCATAACATTGTATTACTGTAACTGCATTGATATGTGATCCTGATACTAACTGCATGCTGTGTTCTGCATGTTTTCCTGATTATTGAAATAGGCAATGTATCAGCAACACAAAGATTGGACTCTGCTACAGTAAGGACTTATTTATGTTAAAGCCTTTCATTGGTAAGTAAGAGTGATACACTGCTTATAAAAGTTAGAATGTACAAAAACTTCATTATACCAAGTGAAATGACCTCATGCTGATTATTTTCTGTCACACTGAAAATTACACTGAACATCTACAGTACAGTACAGAAACTGTGTCTACACAAACTGCTTTCCAACTTTGGAAATATAGAAAGCAGTTTTGGGGTTTTGCAGAGTAGCTGGTCAGAGGAAGCTAATGTACGCAGGTACCCGAAGTGATAGCTTTTTGAACAGCTCTTGTATCCAGCTCTCAAATTGCTTTCTGAACTTGGTATTTAGGCCTTCTCTTGGGAGGACCTTCAGGAGGTCAGTCATAAGCAAATACTCACATCTCCCTTTGGCTTTTGGCCAGAATAATTTAAAAGAGGAGCTCAATAAGAGGTAGAGGCTAGAAATTTAAACCTAGCAATGGGAACAGTGAAGTTATATGTATTAAGAAGTGGGGATGGTGAATGAATAACAAAATACATTAAATAGAACTGCAGAACCTGTGTTATATGTGGTTTTTCAATTTGGTTTATAGTAAATTTGATTTTTTTTCAAATACCAATGTTATCTCTTCATTAATTGCAGCATTTTTTTCTTTTAGTAATATTTCTGGCTGATTCTATGTTTAATAATTGATTCAGATGTCAGAACAAAGGTTTCTCTTAGTGCAAAGTGGAAGATTCTCCCAAATACACTGATCGGCCAAAGTAATACACTTAAGTTGATATGCAGGTAGTAGGGAAGAGACTGTCTTACATAGCTCAGTAATTCCTAATAATCAAATCTTAAAATTTGGCTGTCATTATATACTCCATGAGCTCTTCAATTGTGCAAAATTTCGAAGTTATCAAATGAAATTTGCCACAAGCACCATCAAGTTAAAAATGCTGAAAAGTGACGCATTGGCTGAAATACTGTTACTTAATGTAGTGAGTCACACTAGAGTAGGCTCATTGAATTCGTGGGGATTTGGTAAATCACTTTTCTGTAAGTAACACTGATTCAGTGACCCTATTATAATTGTAATTTCCTTTAGCACAGTACATTCCAACTAGTGTATGCCCATCTAAATGAGTAGATGAGAGTTGGCTCACCAGATCCTCACTGATTCAGTGGGCCTACTCCAGTGCCACTTATCACACTAATCAACAGCATTTTACCAATACCTTTTTATTCCAATATTAAGACAAGCATGACATACTTTTCCTCCAGATTTTTCTAAATGTTGCTGTACTTTATTCAGTCTTTTCACTGAACACATTTCCCTATTCATTTGGTGGTATTTACTGGTTCCTTGAAAGCCAGCAATGGACAAAAATTGAGACTAGTTATGTACACCTAGTGCAGTGGTCTATAGAAGTGAATTTGGTGACAAGAGAATCTGACACTTTCCAGTACGTTTCACTCTGAAGTCTTTCATGCTATTGATGAGCTCTTGGATGTATCAGGAAAAAGAATTATGAGCTGAAACTGGTTATGTCTTTTCTATGTTTTGCCTAATTCAGAGGCTTTTCCTACATTGATGCTGTGAATATGTGGACTCTCAGCTCTGTTACCTACATTATGGACTTGATGATTCCTGGATTTTTCTTTAAAAACTAATAAGATTTTATTTTATTTTCAGTTTATCCCCACTATTTCTACAGATGATCTGAAACATTTTGAACTCAGAGAGACCATATTTTCGAAATGACTGAAGTCATTAATATGTTAATACTTGTTAAATCAATACTTTGAAAATATTTTATTACAGAGTTTTTAATTAGCACATGAATTTGTGAGTACTATAGAGAAAGTATTTTAGAATTAAATGTTTCTTATATTTATGTATGTGAATCCCATTACCTAACTTGGTTAGTATTCAGTTTTTAAATCAGATTATTGTTACTTGTTAATTTTAGAGTTTTTTCATCTGAATGTACTGTAATGCTTGTATGTATCCGCCCCTATCAGCAGTATAGGGTTTTTGTAAATTATGCAGTTATTGTAATTATATGTAATGGTTTTTAATAAAGTGGTGAAAAGGATTTTGCTATCTTTGTAAAGGTATCATGACACCAAGCAGTATATATATATTGTCATTTGAAAATGCTATCTAGAGCTAAAATTTAAATATATCACGTTTTTTCAGAGAAGCAGTATGTTTATTAATAAAGCGGACATGGTACCTGCTTCTGTTTCCGTTCATAACTGTATGTTTTCCATATAGCGTATGATTTTAGTGTGGATTTATTTAAACCTTTTGTTCAGTGTAATTTGCTTTACATTCTAAAATGTGGGAATTATTAGGACACTATGAAATGTATGAAAATTGATGAGGTCACTTTTTGTGGCTGTATTTGTACAGTCTGTTTATTGACAGCATAAGCCATATGTAGAATTTTCTGTAACAAAGAATAACAGACGAAAAGGAGTGTTCTCTTTCTGTATTTTCATGTGAAATTATTTACAGAAGGATACTGATGCAGTTCTTTCAAGTGGACCAATCATGATGCACTGCAGTCTTATGACAAAGAAGCTGACAGCACAAGATGCTGGAGCATTGTAGTAGTGCAGCTACTAAAAAGGCCTTACTTTTAATATGTCATCTTTTGCATATATTTATCAACATGTTTTAGATTCTGGACAAACATTTAGTTGTTAATAGTTTTAGTGACTTCAAAAGTATAAGTAGAAAATGCATCATTCACATTTAAATAAGGAGCCAGCAAGGAATAATTTCAAATCATGGTGCATTATTTATTATGCAATAATGCATACAGCATGTCTTCTGTTTTTGGTTTTGACTCTTTCACTTGTACAACTGAAATTTGTTTTTGTTTTTTTCTATTAACCTTGTTTGTGTACTTCTGATTATGTAACAAATTATGTACAGTCTAAATACTTTGAACTATTTTTATCACAGTATTATTTATTACTATCTCTCAATAAAGTACTGAAGCATTTTTCCACTGCCAACAAAATGCAATTATTTTGTAATGGTTCTTGAAGAGTGTTTAAGTGTAATATCTGTCATCAGTGTCAGTGAAGTTCTTGTGAATTATGTTTTCCTTTGTCTAAAACTGGCATGGGCAACTTTTAGCCCCCAAGGGCTACATAAGAAGGGCTGTGGTTTGGGTGATGTTGACGTTGCCTGTTGCCAAGCATTCTCCTGGCTCCCCATTTGTGTCTGTTCACATGCTTGTGTATGTATATATTTTAAAAGCTTATTTATGTAAATATAAATACAACACATGCAATTGCCCCATTTACTTCTTCAACACATGCATACACATACTCCCTGCCCATATGATCATAATATGTATGCATTTATATGGCCGTCTGCTTTCAAATGCATCGGAACACCAGAAAAAGAGTCACTTAGTTTTCCTTTTACATCTTTGGCTGCTCACTCTCTCCTTCTCACATGAAATATAGTAGAGTTTCTCACTTGAATTATAACTGGAAAAGTCAGGTTCCCACCTCAGATTTATCATTCATTCATTTTCACATTCCTAAGCCAAATAATACTATTTTTCATTGGCTTTTTCTATTTCCACCAAACAACTCCTCCCAGTAATTACAAAGTTTTGCCTTCCATTCAGATCTCGCCTCCAGCACATGTCTATTTAGAATAAAGTCCTACTGAGATGGTTGCAAGGCAGGTGCATATACATTTTAAAACAATGGTTTTCCTTGGTTTGGCCCATCAATCCCACACAGAAACAGATACGCAAGTGCTTTTTTTGTTTGGTTGGTTGGTTCAAGAACAGACCTTTTTCCTGGGATGATTAGAATACGGCCAACATGTACTGTTCGTTTGATTTTTATTCCTGTCATGCCCAACTGTGGAGTATCCCAACAGCAACTGATGTATCCTGATTTTCTTCTTTGTGTTCTATTTCTTCTTTGTGGTCTCTGACACCTATGGGCTCCTGTGCTTGCATGGACATCTTTGGAACATTATAGAGCCTAAAAAGCCATGAATCCATGCATAAGCTCCCAGTAATTAATCCCTTTTTAAACCCTTTCATCTACTACTAAGAACACCTTCAGAGCTTCCCCAAAGCCCTCTTTAAAACTACTTTTTGTAAATAGTTCTTACCTGTTCATCTGTCATTATCCATGAGTCTTCTGAATTCTATATAAACACAAGCTAGTACTTTTCCCTAATGTGTCCTTCCTGCTGAAAGTAGTTTCTGACATCCATCTTAACCAACCTTTGTTGCTTGCCTACATTTTTCCCCCTGAATTGCTTCAGATTTGGAAAAATTGCAACATGGATACATATAGAGCTTTGATCTTTTACACTTCAAGAACAAAGCAGTTCCAAAATCCCCTAAATTGTGAGTTATCACGGAGCAAAGAAGGGCAAACCAACATCTCAACATGTGTCTAAATGGATAGTGAACACTATCGCTTTATCATACCAATTAGTGAAAAGGCCAATACCTTCATCTTTGAAAAGCCATTCAACTAGAGCAGTGGTTCTTAACCTTGGGTTACTCAGGTGTTTTTGAACTCCAACTCCCAGAAACCCCAGCCAGCACAGCTGGTGGTGAAGGCTTCTGGGAGTTGCAGTCCAAAAACACCTGAGTAACCCAAGGTTAACCACTGAACTAGAGCAGTTACTGCATCTAGTGTTCCTAAAATGAATTCAAATAACAGATATCTGGAGAGCAACATTACAGATTGAATGTAATGGCAAAACGTGATGCTTCATTTGGCAGAGCTGCCATTTCTTATGCATTGGAGTGACATTCCACTAGCTGTTAAGTCAGCTTGCCAGTCACCCACGCATGAATCACAGAGATCATATATGAGGAGGACAAGTTGCTTACCTGTAACTAGTTCTCCATGTGGTCACCTCTGAATTCAGACAACCTGTGCATCCTCCCCTCGGTCTGCCATACAAGTGTATCTTGTCAGCAGCACACAGAGAACTGAGGCTTTACTTGCCTTTGGAAAAACTTACCTGTTGAGATGTGCCTGGCTCGCTCGCTGAGGGCCTTCAAGACTAAGTTGAAGACATGGCTATACAGGCAGGCCTTCCCTATAGCCATTACCTAGCCCAGGGGTGGGCAATTAATTTCTAGGGGGGGGCACATGAAAAATCTTAACTGTGTTTAGGGGCCGTACCAACTTTAAGGTAAAGGTAAAGGTTCCCCTTGACAATTTTTGTCCAGTCGTGTTCAACTCTAGGGGGCGGTGCTCATCCCCGTTTCCAAGCCATAGAGCCAGCGTTTGTCCGAAGACAATCTTCCGTGCTCACATGGCCAGTGCGACTTAGACACGGAACGCTGTTACCTTCCCACGAACCAACTTTATTTAAAAATAAAAAGAAAAAGTGATGTTATGATTGTTTTTATTTTAAACTTGTTAATCGTCATAAATACTAAAGAGGTTTTTTGGGGTATGTTAAAGATAAGCAACTGATCAACTTTAGACAAAAAGCTATAAATGGTTTTGATGTTCAAAACTTTCTGCGGACCAGACAGGAGCAGCTCGCGGGCTGTATGTGGCCCTCAGGCCACATTTTGCTCAGGTCGGACCTACCCTATCTCCCCTTTTCTTCTTTTTCTTTTCTCCCCCCCGCTTTCTGTTTTCTGCATTTATCCAGATAACTTATATAATGTGTTGTTTCAAATGGCCGACATAAGCCACAATCCTCATGCATTATGATTTTTTTAAAAAATTAAAACCATTTTATTGTGTGGTGTTTTCTGACCCCAATCAGCATTTTATTGAGGGTTTTGGCTAGAATTTTGATCAGGGTTTGAGGAAATGCACCCTGGATTTCCCGATGAGAATTCCAGTGATCTTCACAGTGGGTGAAATTTCAGTTTCCACAAGATGGAATTACCTACCGACTAACAGAACATGCTTAATGCTTCTGTGGATCATGGTTTGATGAAAAAAATGCATGTGATAAAGGAGATGGAATAGGGGGAAAACATGTGAAATACTTATTTTCTCCTGGCATTTCGTTTTCAATACAGTATTTCTTATATCCCCTAGTTCTTGTCATAGGGGTTATGTTAGTCATACATTTTGAAGAACATGTAATCAGGTGGATTTGATTTAAATTACTATTTAAATTATTAGTCATTAAGACTCCATTTAAATCATGGTTTTCTGTTTGAAGGTTCATTCTTGCTAATTGTTACAAGCTTGATGTTTGCAACCCAGATGGCTTGTTTTTATAATAATTTTTCAAGGGGTTTTACAATTGAATCAGAAAATTAATGACTGGTTATTTACCATTCAAAATAGAAATATGAGATGAATTATTACTGCAGTTCATTTACAAAAATTTGTAAACGTTGCATAAATGTATAGTTTCATACTGCATAACTAAAAGCTAATCTTTAATAGAAAACTATCTGAAATAGCTTTTTCCTCAAAAAGCATTCCTTTAAAAATCTATTAAAATCCAGTTTAGAATGTAAACATCCAATTCTTAATTAATTTTTAAAAAACATTTATTTTTATCCACCCTGCATGGAACTATGCTGCATTTATAAAATAATAATAAAGTTATTGAGTCATTGTCACACTGTTTTCAACCAAATGTTTGAACTACAAACTATATAACTAAGGGTTGTGGGGGGGGGTTGAATTATGAAAAGTATTAACTGTTTTGTATCCTGCAGTAGAACTTACTTTGATGTCAAAGAAAGAAATATAAATTTCAAATTTCTTAGTCTCCTAGTATCCATGAGTACAATAAATGAGAGGCAAAATAGTTTGTATTTCACCCTCAATGGGGTGGTCTACTCCACTTCATCACC